GGCACGATCGCTGCTGCGCTCTTGGAGTCCAGTCCTGCCACTGCTCTGCACCTGCTGCTCTACGAATCGGCGCGGCGTCCTCCGTGGCGGTCTTTGGAACTGGTTCAACCCCACCCGGCACGATCGCTGCTGCGCTCTTGGAGTCCAGTTCCTGCCACTGCTCTGCATGCTGCTCTACAATCGGCGCGGCGTCCTCCGTGGCGGTCTTTGGAACTGGTTCAACCCCACCCGGCACGATCGCTGCTGCGCTCTTGGGGCCCAGTTCCTGCCACTGCTCTGCATGCTGCTCTACAATCGGCGCGGCGTCCTCCGTGACAGGTAGTGCATTTGTGAGCGTGGTGACGTGGTTAGATCCACTTGTGTCTTCATAGTGTTCTTCACATGTTTTATGCTGATGAATCTCTAGTAGGGTTTCAGGCATAGGTTTTAGTTGTATGTTTGTTTGTCGTGTCCTGGTCTCTTTATTATCAGTTGTGTCTGCTAGCTGGGTTGCGAAGCTCGCCGAAATGCTTTCTGTTAAGGTGTTGGTGTACGGTTTCTGGAGGTGGCATTGTGCTCTGCGTTCTGTGACGTCGATCATGTGGTTTTGGAAGTCCATCTCAATTAGCGTACGCCGCTGAAACTCTGCCTTCACCAGCATGCGAAGAAGAAAAAAGATGCGCTCATTCCACAGTGCATGCCGGAGAGTTTTTTCATCTGTTGATAGCTGCACCTGTTCCACCCCGGCAAAGAAGTAGGACCGCTGCATCTTGACCCTCTCGGAGGTCTCTTTTTTGGCCACGGCGTTCTCAAAAAAGCTGTGCCTCATCCTCCATAGCAGCAGCATGCGGTTCCGCCATTCGTCCTCATAGATGCCCACTTCCAGGGCGATGTCAAAGCACAATCGGGCCAAAAAGAAGGGAACATCGTTTAATAGGTAACCCCGCAGCAGCGCACACCCCTCCATTGGCTTCAGCAAATCACACACCCGCCCATCCATCTCGAGCACCTCCAGCTGTGCGCGATCCCGTGCCTCGTCCCGTTGCAGCTGCTCCATGCACGCTATCGTAAAAAGCTTACGCTGCTTACACACCCAATAGCGTCGCCAGAAGCGTTGTATCTTGCAAGCGTTGATATCAAAGAAAAAGTTGGATTTTTGGGGTTCTAAGACTCTCTGAAAGCCCATCTGCCATTCGCGCGTGATAGAAAGACGCCCGTACAACTCTAACTGCCAGAGTACCGCCACGGGATCCGCCTTCGCAGCGAAGTTGCCCATGTGGTGGTTACGCAAAATCATGTTAAACACCATTTGTTCCATATTCTCCACATTGGCGCGTTCCCGCCGCTCAGTTTTGTTCTCCAATATGTGTATTTTGAGTTCAATAGTTTTTTGCTTCTCTAGACGGGCTATTTGTACCTCTTTTTCAAGTTCATCTCTGCAACGCTGAATATCCTCTCGCTGCGATTGATATGCCTGCTTCAGTTGCAGCTTCTCACGTTTCTCAGCAAAAGCATCGCGCAGAAAGCTTCGCATGCCTGTTCGTCCGACCTCACCATTCCTATAACGGCGAAAAAAGTGTTTAATCACGTTGGCAGATTTCGTTTCCGTCTGAAGCTGTCGCAGTTTCGCATCTGTTTTGTCGTGCATGTCATTGACAATCTCTGCCACTGCGTCCTGCTGTGTCTGCACAAGCCGACAACGAGCCACCACCTCACTCCCGACAAGAAGACTCACGTGAATGGTATGGATCAAGTTGTTGTGCTCACGCTGCAGGGTGGCGGTGCACGCTTCGTGCAACTGCAGTGCTGCCTCCTCTAGTAGATGAAGTCGACCCGCAAGAAATTTTTTCAAAAGTTCGTTCCGCGGCGATGGATCTACAGCCCCAAGTTCAAGAGCCCCTGCCTTACATCGAATCCAGAGCTGAGCAATCTTCTCCACGTGGGCTTGCTGGTGTTGCCGCCTTATTTCAAGGAGAGAGGCTCCCAGTGCACGGAGTTCCTCCTCCTGCTGCCTCTCCCGCTCCATGGTGGCGATGCGCAGGTCTTCACGATTATCAAGCTCCTCGTCGAGTATCCGGCAAAATGCGGCCGCCTCCTCGATGGTGGTGAGCACCCGCTCCGACTCTTCGTGCTCCCTCAACAGCCGCTTTTGCTTCATGATGTTCAAAACCCTGTAAAAAATGCAGCAGAAACGGCTTCGTTCAAAGTCCTCCCTGACGTCTACCTCACGGCGGTGGTCCATCTCCTCCTTGATGTATTGGGCCTGCTTTGGCAGAAGAATATCCTCAAGAAACCGATGCCTACGCTCGTGGAACAGCGCAGTCACCTCCCACTCCTCCTGGGAGTTGATCACGGCGCGGTGCATAACCTCCTTCTCACAGGCAGCGACCCGCTCCGCCTCGTGTAAGAGGCGTAGTTCCTCCTCCACGGCCCTGCAATCCGCCAGCAGAGACAACTTGAATGAACGCATCGACTCTACGCCCCGTTGAATCTTCCTTGCATCACGAGTTGCCTGGATGCTTCGTCCAACCTCGCGGTGAGTGTAGCGCCAGCCCAACCGCCCCTCCTTCCAGCGTTGGAGGGCGTGTTGAATTGTGACAATTTGTTCCGCGTGTTCAGTCTGCTGCTTCTGCAGGAACTGCAGCACGGCAATCTGCGAGGGCATAACCGTGCTCATCACCGTCTCGTACTCCAGCGTCAATGACACACGGAGTGCCAGCTCCAGTTGCTGCATCCACAATTGACGGGCAATGATTTCATCCTCCTCAAGAGAGGCGCGACTTCTCTCTTGTTCGTTAAGGATGGCGCCAAGTTTTGCCTCAATGGAGGCCTTATCGTACAACTTCCGCCACATATCGCGGCAGGTGGATTCCTCGAGGCAGATGCGCTCATATCCCTCCTCCTCCTGTACCACCAACTCGGCACACTCAGAGGCGATTCGTGGCTTGGCAGTCATGGCAAGCTGTTCTAACGCCAACTGCACCTGCTGGCGCCGCTCCTCGCGTTGGCCCTGCCAATAGAGCAGACGCTTAAGGTGCATGTGCTTGTTCCGCCACATTTGAATGAGGAACCTATGCTCCTCAAACAGGGACAGGATGCTCTGAAACTCCTTTTGTTCGCAATCTTCAATTATACCGCGGGCCTGCAAATCCTTCTCCAGGAGTGCAACGTAGGCAGCAATGCCAAGGGTATTCCGCACGGTGTTGCGCAGCATAGAACGAGTCGCTTGGAAAGGCTGCAACAGCAGAGGGGACAGCTCCCTCTGTCGTTCTTCCTCCTCGGACCGTGGAGGGTTTTGCCGGTCCGAGGAGTGAGCGGCAGCCGAGGTGGTGCTGGTCGCGCCATGCTTCAGTCTGACATACCGCTGGAGAATATTGCGTGCGTCCGGCTCCTGCGGTGGGCGACAAACGTAACGGGGGAGCGCGGACGAATTCATAGGGTACAACACATCCGCCTCTTCCAGCCGCCGCTTCTTTTCTTCCTTTGCACGCAGGGCAGACTTAAAACGCACGAGTTCTTTGCTTGCACCCGACTCATTCTGCAGCCAGTAACGTTTCTTCTCCTCGTCGTAGAGGATGTTGGCTCGCTTCTCACATTCGCAAAAGTGCAACTCATCCAACTCCTCTCGCAAGACAAACGTGACGTAGCTCACAACCATCATCTGGTTTAGCACCTGCCGCTCCCACAGCTCCGTGTCCATCAAGTGACGTCGCTCCTCCTCCTCCAGTACGCATAACGGCTGTTGAGGTTCCACCAGAGAAGTGGCGCGAGTTTTGATGTGACTACCTTCCGTTTTGAAGCGAAGCCCCTGCGAAAAGCGCGAAGCGCCAGCGTCATCGACCACACTTCCCTCCGATAGCTGCTTCGGGTGCATAATGAGTGGAAGTTGCTCCTTCGGGTTATACTTCGCACGCTGTAAAAAATTTTGTCGCACCCCCTGCAGCATCCTGAGATACCCGTCGTGGCTAACGGCGCTGCCGCAGACGCGGTGCACCGTACGCCACTGATCCCGCTGGCGGCGCTCGTCCTCAGCGGGGGCGGGCTGCGTGTGGCTCTTGCCGTTAATGTCCGGGAGAGACACCACCATAGTGATTCTGAGACTAAACAAAAGCCGGTAGTAGTAACACTGTAATAAAAAAAAAAAAAACGCACCCTCACGCACACGCTAAAGTGGAATGGTTATTCCGTCTACTTCTGAAGGGGTGCGGGCAGTCGCGTTTTTTACTTCACTATTTGCTCTACTGAAGCAGCCACAAAAACAAAAACAAGAAAAAAAGAAAAAAAGCAAAACTGCACGCGTAGCAAGCAGGCAAAAAGGAAATGACGTGGGTGTTTTCCATGCGTGTGAGTCACGCCCTTGGCATATGTGTGAGCGTACGCACAATTGATGGTAAACACCAGAGACGACACGTAACAAAAGAACACAGAGGGTATTGAATGCAGGCACATATGCATCTATGCTCCTACCATTTTGGGGATGCCGGCCAGCGCTGGTCCCGGGGTTCTTTGATCTCTGAACGCACGTTGGGCGGCTGCAACCGACCGTGCCACTTCGGTGTCTCCAGCATCGTCGCACGGCGAAAGTGCCGCGCCGCCTCCTCAAGAGGAACCCCCATAGTAGCTGCCTTCTTCGGAAGCACGTGCTGCTCAAACCACTCCCATTCCGCCGCGTTGTGTTGCAGGTGCTGCGGCTCGCCGATCTCCTTCCACCACCTCATTGTTTCCACCCATCTCAAACGGTTTTGATGCAGCTCGCTCTCCTTGTGTGCCTCGTAGTCCTGTTTGAAGCGGAATCGCACGTGGCAGAGCGCACAGCTTGGCTGCTCGCCGAAGAGCCACACATCCTTCCCATTGTGCGGAATGCGTTTGCTGCGCCGGTCAATCCATTTGGATTTCTTGCGGATGCGAATGAGACGCCCACTGGCCGAGGCGGTGCTACTATTAATGGTCGTCACCTCCGCTAGCAGGCGGCGGGTAAAGAAGAGCATGGTGAACCCCCCGCCTCCGAAGCACTCGCCCCTCCCTCCCTTGCAACTTACCTTCCTGCGCCTTTTTCCCAACAATACCCCCACCCACCCCCCGGAGCCGCGGAAAAACAATGCACAAGCAAAAAGGAAAAAAAAAAGGAAAAACACGCTGCACGCTTGTGAGAAGAGAAAGCCGGCAAATATATAAAGGCACATCGCTTGTGTGCAACATCATCCGTCTTTTTCTTTTTCTTTTTTCTCTTTTTTGTTGTTGTCGTTGTTGAAGTTAATGTATCACAGTTCTGGCAAATGGAGAAGTAATGCGATGCAGGTCTGTATATATACGCAGAGGCCCAATATATATATATATATATATCTGCGTCAGCAGACAACTCCAGCCCCACTCTATGTCTACGTCCTACAGACCCAGGAGAGACCAACGCTAAGTGTGCCCTGTGGGTGTAAAACCTCCGTCGTGCGCACCACCGTCTGCGGGGACTCCAGCAGTGACCGCAGCGGCACCTCCACCACCCCGAGGTTTGCCTGCACATCCTTCGCCTGCTCGTCAAAGACAATAAAGACAACGGCGCCTACCACCATAAACTCCACCAGCTCCCGGTCCATCACTAACCGGTGGTCAACGGGGTCGGCGTCAAACACCGGGTCGGTTGTGAAGGACTTTGAGGAGGGGCGCACCACCGTGTCTCGCACGCAGCTCAGCCCAGCTGGCGCAGATGTGGTGTAAAATACGTATGGTTGAGGTACAGGCGTGCCCAGTAGACCATCTGCACGGAACACCTGCACCCTCAGGGCCACCACACCTCGCAGTCTCACCAGTGTCGCCCGCAACGCCTCTGCCGTAAAGAGGGTGCTGCTGAGCTGCCGGTCAAGCAGAACAGGCAGCATCAGGTTGGACGCACACATCTCAACTGTGACGGCGCCTGCCGGCTCCCCATTGCCGTTCACCATCGGAACTCTCTCGGAGACGGTCAGCTCGCGACACGACAACAACGCCACTCCGGGAATTTCCCCCATGGCGACAATCACGTTCGTTGCCCCTTTCACCTGGTGAAGCTGGAAAAGAAATGTTGTGTTGCGAATATCGGCAATCGTCACCTCGTCTCTATCGAGGTGATCGTAGCGGAACCAAATATCAAGCAGCTCGTCCAAGGCGTAAAAGGTTGGTGACAGCATCGTATCGTAGGACTGCAGTCCATCCATGGTAAAAAAAAGAGTTACAGCGGCTCCAGCAGCCTTGCCAATGCCGAGAGAACGCAGGAGGCCCGCATCACACTCCACGCCTTGTATGTGGAACGAAATGAGGCCAGTTCGTGCATCCATGGAATCCGCCCCGCGTTCCTTTGCAGCGCGATACACCTCAAGCTGCTGCTTCGCAAAGACGGTCTGAACATGCGAGAGCCGACGGCGCATTTCTATGTTCTCCTCCAGAAGCACATCCCGCTCCTGTGAAAGCTGCTGCAGAAGCGAGCGACTCTGCTCCACTTGCGTACTCATCTGAGAGCAGCGTGTGTTCGCAAGTTCCATGTCAAGAGCCGCACTCGCCAACGCCTCGCGCAGCTGATCGGCCTCCCAGTCGTCATCCCACTTTAACGCATCCCACATGTCGAGTGCCTCTTCCGCCTCGCCGACGGCACCGGAACGCCTCGAGGACGTCTTGCGTATCGCCGCCACTGTGAGGGCGCGTTGTACGTGTTCATCGCCCAACTCCTCTGTCGCGTGACCCATCAGCGTGGCCCGCGCTGTCAACTCGGAGATCTCCATCTCTGCCTTCTTCAGCTGCTCGCGATACATGGCGGCGTCCCCGTGGACCACCTCCAACTGTCGTTTCATCTCGGCAAGCTGATGCTGCGCGTCGAGCAGCTGCGACTCCTTCTCACGCCGCCTCAATTCGGCACTGTCCCGCATCTCTTGCAGGTCCGCTATACGAGAGGATAGTTCCCGCCGCACCGCCTCCTCCGTCTCTCGGTTACACGTCTGCAGTGTTCCTGCCGTCCGAAGCAGCTCTTGCTCCACGTGAATCAGCTCCTCGCTCTTGCGCTGCACCGTCGCCTCCAGCTCCTCCATCCGTGTGCAGCGGACTTGTAGTAGACTTTTCTCATGTTCAGCCTCAAACAACTGTCGTTTTGTATCCGCATGCATGGCATGAATACGCTTCAGCTCCTCTACAAGGCGGGAACACTCCCCTTTGAGTGTCTCAGCCTGTTGCTGGGCCCGTTGTATCCGACTCGTCAGCACCGGAATCTGCTTCGACTTGTCGTGTACCTCGTTCTGCAACTGAATAAGAACTGTGGGGTCCACTGCGGCAAGCTCCTTCGAGCGCTCCGCGTTCTCTTGCTGTGCAAGACGCAGCTTCAGTGCCAATGAATCCTTTTCGCGCGTGAGCGCATCAATAAGTTTTTGATACTCCGAGTCCAACTGCTGTCGCGCTCCTTCAGCTGTCTCAGCCCTCTCGTTGAGAACGTCGAAGGAGTGCCTCTCAAAGGAGCGGTGTTGCTGCTGCAAAAAGTGCGCAGTTTCAAACTCCGCGCGAGTGCGGGACAACTGCTCGCGAAGGCCGTCACACTCTGCACTCATCTGGTCTCGCTCAGCCACGGCCCGCGCGAGGTCCTGCTGCAGCTGCTCCAAGACAAGACTGACTGCCGGCGATGGCGAGAAGGACAGAGCTGTGGCGGCAGCTGCTCCCTCCGTGGTTTGTGGCGCACCCGCACGCAGCGACGCAATTTCGAGCCGCGCCTGCTGCAGCGCTTCGCGGCAGCGCTGAAGCTCCTTCGACTCCGCCTCAGCACTCGTGTGTTCGGTGCTCGGGCCCTCCACACGCGGCAGTGACGTTGGAGGTCCCCGCCTCGTGGAGCTTGTGGCCCCCAGCAGGCAATGAGAGTTCGGATGGATGTCGCCAAAAGAAGTGGGGCGAACTTTTGGCAGCGTGGTGTCGTCCAGCGGCTGCAGCATCTCCGGCGGCACACGCTTCAAATCGCGCGTCAATCTGTAAAATTTCACCTGGACAATCTTAAGCTTCTCCCGCAAATCCTGCACCTCGTGCTTCAACTGACGGTTCTCCTGCAGTGCCCGCTGCAGCCGATCCTCCCTGGAAGCCGCCACCTGCACATCTGCCGTACGACGCATTACTGCGACGCGTATGCGTGGCCGCCTCCTCCGGTCCTCTATCCTACGCCCCTCCTTGCCTTGTCTCGCCGACTGTCGCCTCCTCCTTCCGCAGTCAATTACACACAGCAGCAGCAACAGCGGCGGCCGCTAGAAAAGCGCGTGGGGATGGGGACAAAAAGAAAGAAAAAAAAACAAAACAAAATGCGGCACACGCAGACACATATGACAACAACCGTCGTCATCGCAACCGTCACAAACTTCTCCTCCCAAACGACCTTTATAAACCACGCAGAGAAAGCGAGTGAGGGGGTGTGAAAAATAAAGAGCGGCACACGCCTCACGGCCGTTGTCCCCGGAAAAACGGATCAATGCCGGACGCCCATGAAACGTTCTCGCGACGCCGTTGTGCCTTTTCCCGCTCGTGTTCTGCCTGTTCCTTTGCAATGCGCTCAGCGTGCTTGCGTGCCTCTTCGAGGAAGAGTTTGGCGTTCTCACGCTCTTCGGGTGTGCCGTGCTGCCGTCCACTGCCGTCCTCCATCATCGCGTAAGCAACAGAGATGGGTCGGTCCCTATAGACCTTCTGGTCCATCTCGTCAATGACCTTATCGCTAGCGGCGAAGTCCTCGTAGGAGAGGATGACAACGCCGCGGAAGTTGCCCTCCACGTCCCGCACCTTGCGCGGCGGCACGGCAAACTTCCCAAACTGCCCAAAGAACGAGGTGAGGTCAAAATCCGTGACGTTGAGGTCCACGCCACGCACCACAACTTTCGCCCCAATCTCGTGCAGCTCGTGCACGGCGTGTCGGTGGTGCACCTGACTGCCGCTTTCCTTTAACGGCATCTCCGTGCTGGCGTGAGACACGCGCAGCTCTTTTCCGAACATCTTGACGCGGCTGCGGTACAGCGCCTCGTAGCAGTACTTCGCGTCCTCCGCGTTACGGAAGTCCACGAAGCAGAACGTCTTGTGTTGCGCCCCACCGGTGAGGTTGCCGATCGTGGGCCAAGTGATGTTTGCAACGGGACCGAACTGCGTGCAGAGCTCATAGATGAGATCCTCGTCACACTGCTCCGACAAGTCGCTAAAAAAGACACGACGGAGGTCCTCCCGCTTGAACGTCGTCATCCCCGATAGCCCACTGCAGCAATAGCACACTCTAGCCCTACCCCCGACAAACTGCAAATAAATGGAAGAGAAGAGGGGGCGCGCAATGGGGCGGCCACACAAACAAACATGCATCCTCTCAGGCACACAAGGAGAGCAAAAGCAAAAATAAAAGTTACAAGAAGAAAAAGTAAAGGAAGAGAAATTTTTTATACGTGGTGCTCGCCCCTCGCCGCCTCAAAGAGACACCAGCGTGTTCAGCGCGAGGTTCAGGTCGCTGGGCTCGTAGCGAGCGAGCGAGGGCACAAGCACCAGCGCCTCCTCCACAGTCTTTGGGCAGAGCGTCCCCAACGCAACCACCTCAAAGGGCCTCATGCGTGCAGTCTTTAGTGCGCTATGGTCATCCCCGTCCTCCGCCGGGTCCCGCATTCCCGTCACATTTCCCTCACTGTCAAGGATGAAATTCGCCAAATGTGAATTCGCAAAGCCTGTCTCGCTTTCGTCATGTAGACGCAATTTCATCTTCATGACGTGTTGCACACTATTCTCGTCTGCGCAGGTCTCCTGCATCAGCTCAGCCTGCTCACGTGTCCGCTCAATGAGGGCCATGGCGGGAGATTCCAAACCGGCATCGTCGCCGGTGTCGCGACGCCCGCGCAGCAGCTGTACAACCACCGGCAAGGTAAGCGGTTCCGCCTGGTTGAAGACAGGGCCGAGGTCCCCTTCCACGTAGTTCTCGGCGCTCATAACCCCGTCCCTACTATCGAAAAATGAGTCTCTTGGGAATCTGCAGGGGGAAGCAAAGGAAGAGGAGGAAAAACAAGTAGGTCTAGAAATACAGCAAGGCGAGAAAAGGAAGGTTGCACTACAACAACAATATCAACAGTAATAATGTAGAAGAGAACGAGGAATAGGAAGAAAAATAAATAAAATACAGCTGCTTTCTTTACGTACGTTCCTGTTTGGACATATTTTGCTGTTTATATTTCTTCACATTTATAAAAATGGAAGAGTCATCACAGAAACGATGATGAGCATAAAATAAATACACATATGTATGTATGTGTGTCATACGTATTAGGGGGGAAGATCCCATTGATACCGAAGTCTCCATAGATATCGCCTCACCTCAATTCCGCCCACGGGGCATCTCTTTATTGCGACGAAACTGCCGTACCAAAGCAGAGGCTGGGCGTCCTGGGATCATCAGCGATCGACCCTCAATATGCAACCCACTCGTCCCATCATCCTGCTGCAGTTTCTCCTGAGTCAGACGCCGAGTCTGGGGCCCGACAGGCTGACGTAGGTCACGCGCGTATCTCGTTTGATTCTTCCAACGATGAGCCGAGGTGATCCGCTGTTGTGCTAAGGCGCTAACGGAGCGTGAGGGTGGTTTGCTATTGCTCTTGCCGGGGCCGCCACCGTGTGCAACGGCCCCGTTGCAATCCAACAAAGAACTCCGGAGTTTTTTGCTCTCCACGCGACTTGCAGGTCTCTGCCCATTCAAAACGGCAGGTGTGGATATAAGGTTTGCAGTATCATAATAGCATCGCTCAAAGACAGGATTTTTCCGCGGCCCACGCATCATCGGGATGCGCGGCGGCAGATGATCATCGGCGGGTCCAACAACGACAGGGTCACGAAAATACAGTCGTTCCAAATAACGCCTAGCATACGACACTCTCGCACCAAGCTCTGCACTATTGAACAGTGACGTCAGCCTAGCAGGACGCGGTGGGACGTCAACGCCTTCCGGCTTCGCCGGTGCGGTATCATGTGGGCTCGGTTCAACTACCACAGGCGGCAACCTTGAAACGGGGGGGCATCCAAGTTCTACTGTTGAGCTCCGCCTGCTGCAAAGAGGCGAGGTGCTTTTCGACAAAAACGCGATAGTGTGCTCCAATGGAGAAGGATCCATGCCCTTCGTAAGCTTGTCTGCCATTACATCGCGAAACCGCGGCGGCGCGCTCGTCGGAGGGGGCACAAAATCAAAGTTGGCCTCAGTGCTGCCTTGTGGCTCGTATTTTCCTTTTGAGGATGGGGCGTTCAAGTGCGAATCCCCACCAACGGGGGCCATGGACACAGTAGTCGACGTGTCGGCCGCACCACGGTCCAAAGAGTTCCGGGGCTCGTGCTGCGAACTGCGGGGCGCCATGGAGGTCGTGTTTTCCGCCGCCGTCACCGGAGTGGAGCTCCCTCCCTCCTCCTCATGCAAGGCGGGCGCCGCCTCGTCGCCAAGCATGCGGGCAAGCAACTGCAGCGTGCGGAATTGGTCGTTGCCGCCGCCCACCTCGCTCCTGCCGCAAGCAACTAAAAGGCGCAGCATTTTTTCGGTTACCAAGGCGCTACGCACAACGGTGACTGGCGGTGGCGACCGTTGAAACAAAACAAAATAAAACAAAAGGCGTCGAACGCAGCAACCAGTGAAAGACCCATCAGCAGCGGCGGCGGCAAAAACGAACGCAGCACGCACGTGGCAGTCCAAACAAACAAACAAAAAAAAAAAAGAATAAACAAAAACAAAAACACTCAAACGCGTGGGTGTAGCGGGGGGCCGGGGGATGTCAACTACAAAAAAAATCAAATTTACCACACACACACACACACACACAGGGAGAGAGAGTGAAATGAGAAATGAGAAGGAAATCACGGGCAGGGCAGACATCCCTTGCATGGGTGTGCCCGCACCACATACGATGCCTTCCGCACTCCCACCCCACCCGCTCTTTTTCCCTCTATCGCTCAGCCCGCCAAGTCTGCACAGCAGCTTCACGAGCTCTTTTTCCTCGCTTTCTTTGCTTACCTTTTTTCCCCCCTTCTCTCGCCTCTACGCTCACAGGCCCTTTCCCCGTGGACCACGTCGCGGGTTACTTTTTTTTTTTTTCTATATATTGTTCTTGTTTATTTCCTTGTTTCTTGTCTCCCACCCCCAACAGTCTCAAAGCAACCACACACACACACACAAGCACGGCGGAGCACCACAAAAACAAAAAACACGCCACTGAAATTTATCTGCAAAAAGAGGTGCCTGCAGGAGGAGAAGCCAAAGTGGAGGCATCGCGACCAACAGCAAATCCTCCGCAGAAAAACAAAAACAAAAAACAAAACAAAAAAAAAGGAAGAAGAAAAAAAAAGGGGGGAAGAGGGAATCTCTGCGATGATAGGCGCCTTCTCCCCCGGCTCGAGGCGTCAATGCCAATCACTACGTCCAGTGGTATTACATGCATGCAAAATCCTCCTCAACATTGCCACCCTCACACGCCACATCCCCCCTGCGCCCTCTATTGGCCTTTGCGTGCGTCTCAGGCATGTGCCACACGAAGAGAACTGAAAATGTATAAGAAGATCAAGAGAAAAACAAGTGAAGCATAAAAACAACAACACTAAACAACAACAACAACAAAAAAAAAAACTAAAAACTAAAAACAAAACAAAACAAAACGGCAGCAATACGACGGACCGTATTCATTCATCCATTTCCCTTCGCTCTCATTTGTCAACACTTCCTCCACCCTACACACACACACACACACACATGACTTGATCGTGCACCGCTCAATGTTCACTAGCACACACACACACCCCGCCTCCTCATCATGTTTATTTTTATTTTTTTCTCTTCGTATGTCCTTCATAAACATACAAACGTACTGGTTGCCTCCACACACACACACACAGCCGCGTTTGTCCCCTCTCCTCTCGCCCTCCCCCACAAGACAACAGAAGAGATTGCTGGGTTCAAGTATGCAGCCTCCCCCTTTTCTTTTTATCGGTGTTTATTCCTTCCTTGTGCCAGACCTCACCCCCACTTTTTTTTTATTTGCGTGTGTGTGAATGTGCTACGTTTCCAGACACTCCGGCATACGCCTACACTCGTGCTTACGCACACACATCATTACACCGCTTTTGCCGACGCCATAATTCTCCTCCTGTTTTTTCGCTCTCTTACAAATACGTAATTCCTCCCTCATTCAAGGCGTATGTGCAGAGAAACAAACTGCGCTAGCTGTGCGCACACAGCTGCGTCCACATGAGTTTCTCTGCACGAGCACGTAAAAGTAGTACAAAAGCAAAATAAACTCGCTTTTCAAGCGTTTCTTCCCTCTTTCGTGTGTGTATATATATTATATATACATAGCCAAGTAATGCTGCAACACCACAGCCTGCCGCCATCTGCAACAGCACAACATTACACGTACAACAGAAACAAAAGGAGATAAAAGGCGCTGAAGCAAAAGGAATTATAGCACAACAGCAAGACCAAACAGGGTTTGTTGTTGTTGTTTTCTTTTTTTAGTCTTCTTCCTTTTCATTATTGCCGCTAGTATTTACGAGTGCCGGCCATGTGAGGTAGGAGAGAGGAGGGGAGACGGTAACAAGCATCACCCCCCACCCCACCCCCCGCAGCATCGTTCAAACTTTGTGAACGCAACGATCTCATAGAGTGAAAGTAACACACGCACAAAACAAAAACAAAAACAAAAACAAAAAAACAAAAAAAAAATTGGGAAGTGAGGAATAGTAGAAAACAGCTAACGTCCTCAAATAGCCAAACTCTGCATCATATCATTGCAAGCAGATACGTGTGTATAATTGTCTTGTACCATCATATTCTCTTTCTTTCATTCTCTCATTCTAATACTTTTATTTCGTGTTGCTTTTTTCTATATATATATATATATATATATATATTACTTCTATCTCTATTTATTAATCCTATCCTATTCTCTCTCTCTCTCTCTGTC